GGGAGGGAGAGTGGGGGACATGGGGAAGGGACTCTACAGACACTCACCCTCCTTGAACACCCCATTGACAGAAAAGCAGAGCATCTTTTCCTGAAAGAGGAAAACAGCTCAGGCTCCCAGGAGCCCCTAAACTTCCTACCCACCTCCGCCCTCTGGGTCTGCCTCAGGGAGGAAGCAGGTGCTCACCGTCTGGACACACATGTCCACCACAAAGGAGCTGAGGTCATGCTGGGTTTTGGGCAACACATTGAGGAAGTCAACAATGTCACGTTTTGTGTGTTTCAGCAACTGAACCCGCAGAACTGGGGAGGGGAGATGGAGAAGAGAAGGTCAGGGGCTGCCTCACTCACCTGGCCCCTATGATTGACCCCTTCACACTTTCTGTCTCATCCAATCTTCCTCCTCACACACTTACCAGGGTCCTTGAGCTTCCTCATATTCCTGCTCCCCTTGGAGTACTTGTGCAAGCAGCTTCTAGGATAAAAAGAGGAACAGGAGGTGGGGGACTGGCCAGTGTCTGCTGGGGAGTCACAGGGCCCAGGGCTGTCATTGGGTCTGTGATACTCACGGAACCAGGTCATCAGGGTTGAAGAGAATGGTCAGTGAGAAACAGGCCTCGTCATGGTAAGCATCCAGGAGACCCTGCCAGTCTCCAGAGTCATAGATCCAGTAATATCTGTGAAGAAGTAAAGGGGACAGGCTCTCTGTGGTCTGTGCTCCTAAGTGCACTTAAAAGCCCCCCATGAGCAGGCCTGTACCTGGGTGACCTGGCCCATCCCACCCCTCTCTGCCACAGGGTAGCAGGGGTACTTACTGCTGCAGGAATTGCAAGATTATATTCTTCAGGGTCTCAGATCCAAAGACATTCCCCTGATATCAAAACAGTTCTCAGGACCACGGCTATTATATCCTCTTCACCCACCACCCCAAGCCCTGCTTAATCCCACTTCCTCACCTTGCAGACCGGTAACTTCTTGTAGGCTTCATTGCCAAAGATAATGGGTGGGGGTATCTTGTGGTCATCCTGAGGGAGGGAAAAGGAAGTCATCGGTGCAGACTAGGGGGGTGACACTGGATGGTCAGGGAAAAGGATGGGCCCAGGAGAGAGGGAGGGTTAGAGGTCAGGGTGAAAGAGCCTTGGAAATTCCATGGGCAAGACTATTATGGGGTCTTCACCAGCAGGTTCCAGAATACGGTGGAGAACTGTGGAGAAGGTCCATAGCCTTTGTCAGGGTCCCTCGTGGGTCTGTCCTCCATGAGGATTAGGGGTCAGATCCAAAAGTCTAATCTGGGCAATATCTAAGGGACTCAGGGCAGGTTGTGAGTGCTGTCTGTACCAGCAAGAGGAGTAAGGGATAAAGGAAGACACTTACCAGGTGTAATAACTTGGGGAACAATTCCAGGATGGAGCTGTCAAATATCAAGACAGAACAGAAAAGCAAGTAACCACAGAGCTGACCCACCTCATGGAAGCACGCCTACACAGGAACACAACCAGCTGTGTCCCACCTGCACTCCAGTGCCACCACCCCTCCAGGATGCTGGGCACCTCCCCCATGGACTCACCCAGAGAGAGACCTAGTGGGTGTTCTCTCCATATCCCTCTCCCTGTCTCCTTCCTCCTGGGAAGCTCCCACAGGACAGTCCTGAACCCCTTCTCCAGTGACACAGAAGCAGCAGGTGGAGCCCAGGCTCCAGGGATTCCTTCCTTTCCCTGCCTCAGCTCCCTCCAAGTACCCAGGGAAGGCTCCAGAGGGAGGAGGGAATGGGGTCGGGCCCAGGGCTCTTCTCCCTCACCAGGTGTCCAGTGCTCTCCCAGGCCTGGCCATGGACAAGACCAGGACATCCCCAGGGATGGCTCCAGATGCCAGGGAGGAAGACGAGTGAGGCAGGCTCAGGAGGGAGGGAGGGAAGGGATGAGGGCAGAAAAGGAGTGCAGGTAGGGAGCGGAGACAGAGGGGAGTGGAGGCGAAAGAGAAAGAGAAAGCCAAGGAAAGGCAAGGGGAAGAAGTTTACTGTGGGTGGTGGGGATTAGGGAGAAAGGAGGGAAGAAAGGGGAAAAGGCTCTCCTGCTGCTGCCCTGTCCTTCCTCTGCCCCTGGCTGGCCCTGGGGCCCAGGTAGGAATGGAAAACAGGTATTTGTTGGGCTGGGGCCCACTGGCCTTTGTCACCTGTGTGATGCCTTCTGAATTGGGCATGGGAAACAGAGCAGTCAATGGGGCAGGAGACCTTCGCCAGGAACAAATGTTCAGGTAAAGCCACAGCATGGGGTTGAGGGTCTGTGGCCCCTCTTATGAGTGCCACCTTCTCCCCTGATGGCCCCTGTACAACCGTGCCTGTCTTCGTTGGTCCCTTGTCTGAGGAATCAGATCATTTTGGTCTACCCAGTGCTCCTCTGAAGGACCAGGCAGGATGCCGTGAGGTGGTGGAGGGAGGGGGGGCAGTGCCCCTGAGAGGACTGTCCCCCTGTCTCTTCATCTGCCTCTACCCTCTGCCTTCCACACTCGGCACCTGCCTCGGGATGCCCTCTGCTCAGTGGAGGAGACCCGCTTCTGATCTTTGACTCAGGGAACCGAGCTTTCTCCCCCAGTATGGTCCAGCTCCTTCAATGGGCCAGGAAAACAGATGTCATGATAAGATATAGGCCTCCGACAGGTCGGGGGACCCTTTCAGAGCAAGGGAGAGAGTGCCCATCACAGGAAAGGGAAGGAGGTCCCATCTCAGCTCCGAGGCAGGAAGGCCTGTCTCAGCAGGAGGCCCTGGTCAGGAGGAGCCTTTGCAGCCCTGGGCACCAGGATCTGGCTCAAGGTAGCCCCAGTAGGGGAGCAGGGCACAGTCTAGACACCCCTGGTCCTGGGGAGGAAGGGGGAGCCCTGCTTCCTGGAGTACCTCCGAGGAGGTTATGCCAGAGTCTGCTGGGTGCAGAGAGGTGGGAAACAGTTACTAGCTCCTGGGGAGCAGTGAGCAGGCCAGAGGAAGGCAGGGAGACCTCTAAGCACAGGTGAAAGACAGAGAGAGGAGAGGGCAGGGCACATGGTCCTCCCACAGGACTGGGCTGCAGCCTCCTGCATATGAGCACTGTCAGGGGCAGCTCAGGCTGCCAGGGGGCAATAGATGGCACAACTGACCGTATGTTTGTGGACTTATCTGGGAAGGTGGTACATAGAGGGTTTCTGTCCGAACACCTCTCTTCTGGCTGCAGCCCTTTCACATTGTCCAACTCCCCTTCAGACTTCACCTGTAATTATGTCAAGGAAACAGGAGTCAGGGAGACAGCCAGGAGGGGCCTGCACCCCAAATCCATCCTCCCCCACAAATAGCCTTGTCTACCTCTTTTCATCACTCTAATGAGCCCGACCACCTTCAGTGCAAATCACTCTGGCTATGACTTCTCACCTCATTTTTGGAGAGGTTCAGGCTCTTGATGTTGGGGGCCTTCTGCATGGTGTCCGGCAGGCCAACAAGCTGGTAGGGTGTGTTGTTGCTCAACTTCAAGGACAAAAGCTGTGATGAGGGAAGAACTAGACTGACGGTCCAAAAGGTGATATCTGGGACAAATGTGCCCCCCACCCAATCTGTCCCACCCTCCCCCTCATCACTGGGTCTAATGTTTCACCTTGCACATGTTCTCTTCATGGATGTGCAGGGATGCAGCCATGCAGTTTCTAAGATTTGGCCCCATTTCAATATCAAGGGTCATCGGGTCTTCAGGAAGCCAAGAGGAGGGAATCAGAAGGATGAGAGGGGCCCAGCTGGACCAGCCCCAGCACCAACACCTCCCTAAGTTGCCCTCCTACCCTCCCTCCCAGAAAGGGCCCTCTGCCCACACCTGCCCTAGAATTACTGCTATCAGTCATACCTGGGTCTGAGTGGAGTCTCTGGAGGTCAAGAGCTCGCTGGGGGACTTCATATCCTTTGATGTTGGTCTTCTGCAGAGACAGAGACAGAGGGAAGTGGCTCTGACACGGGGGTGGTGTAGGGGGAAATTGGTGAGAGAAGAAGCTGTGGGTGTGGGTGTGGGTGCACGTGTCTTGAGTCTGCATTACCTTTATGAGTTTCACTTTTGTTGACTTTAGCTTCTTCTGCTCAGAGTGGGGTACAGCAGAGGGACTGACAAAGATAGATATCTGCAGAGAAGATAAGAGAGTTTGGGTAAGTACCAGGAACTCTGAAACCCAAGATCAAGCAAGATCCATCCTCCAGCCTGCCATCCTGCCCCCAGCTAGCCCTGGCCATGCTGTGATATGCACTCTTTCATTTTCTTCATCCCAAATCTTGCCGCTCACTTTCTTCAACACAAAGGCAATGCTGGCATTTTCACCAAAGAACTGGACCTGCATTTTCTCATAGTGAAACTTCAGGTGGAGGGGCAAGAGAAATACAATATGAGGCCAGAATTCCTACTCAGCCTGGCCCTACCACCTGCCCTGGGCCCACTCGGCTGCCTCCCTGTCCTCTCTTACCTCGATTGGGTTGAAGGGAACACTACATTGGCTCTGGATCAAATTCAGCAGCCACTTCTCATCATATTTTATACCAAATGGAAACTACAATCAAAAGAAAGAATGGGAGAGGAGACTGACATGATGGAAATACAACTTAAAGAGAGACCCAACCATATGTTCCTTTCGGATCTTTTAGCAAGCTTTAAAATAATTTCTAAACATTGGTCAGTATCCACTATTTCTAACTTTTGTACCAGACATGGGTTTGCTAAATAGCGTTTCTTTCCATTCAAACATTTTTCTCCAAATAATCAACTTAAGATCTTTAACATGATCTTCCCTTTATAAGGTTGCAGGAGATTCTACCTAATGCACATCCTGCCTGCCCCTTCGACAAGGAATCCAGAGACTCAACCCCATCCCTGTCCTCTCCTCCAACCCCTAAGTTTGAGCCAAACTGAGCCATCCGGTGGGGGGGGGGGGAATTGCTCTTGTGAGCAGTTCCCACCTTTGCCTTTTGACAAACTTCCCATTCTCCCCTCCTTCAGCCTGTTCTCTTTTTATTACTTCTCCCAGCCTACCTTAAGACCAGTGGAGGCTGTTTACACCTAGTAAGAAAAAGGAGAAATTACCAACTCCCTGTGCCCCAGCAAAGTACCTAGTGTCTCCAGGAGATCAGCACAGCTCCACCCAACCTTTGTCTCCTGCACATTAGTGAATTTTGCCAGGACACTCACTGTGACCTTGAACCAGCTCCTGGAGGTCCCATCCTGCCTGTTCCCCTCCAATCCTTCCTCTGGAGGTTTTCTCTCTCTCTCCGGGTTACCATGTGTTTGGTCTCCTCTGTGAAAACTGTCTCTCCGCCAGTAAGTTGGAATGGCATACGGGGTGCTGTGTGGATGTGGAGAGAAAGAAGGCATCCATGAGTGCCAAGAAAGTCTTCTAACACCTCGCCCTACTGATGTCAAGGCTATAATAATGTTTGTTGAACCATTAATCTGGTCCTAGCATACCTCACTCTACTGGGTTGGAGAAAAGGAATGACAGAGTTACGTACAGGGTTATATATTCCATTGGCTGGTAAATGGCACCATGCTGAGTGATCACTTACTATCTTACTCCAGGGCCCACGTGGGCATCTCTCATTGCCACGTCTCCATCTTGTTCCCGACGTGATGATGGATGAATGCCAGGGCTGAATGTTTCAGACCAACTGACATACCTTCTTTGGAAAATACCCCAGCATCTTGCTCTTCTTTGAAGAGAATTAACTTGGTGACTGTC